TTTATTTAACAGAAAATCTGGGACGCACCTAAAACAGCCGTATGTTCTCCTCGGACTCCGGGAATGTTACCTTCTGCGATCTTTTTGGCAAAATTTTGCTCCAGAATTTATAATGTTTTTTTTTTAAAAAAAAAAGAGGAAAAGAAAAAAAAAAATATAAATAAAATTTTTTTTTTTTTTTTTGAAGAAATGCTTACCATTGTAGACCAACTGTCGTTATTAGTATCATAGATAAAAATCTATAAAATTGTAAACAAGTAAATAAATAGTTAAACGAACACAAAGCGACGAAAAAAAATGAAAAATAATAATTAATATAATAAATAATAATAAATTTCACACTTCGCTCATATCGACGTATTCATAAGTTTCATTGGGGAACCTTTGGATTCCTCCAATGTAAATTATAATTCCGTCTGGTAGTATTGCAACAGCATAACTTGTTCTTGGTATTGGAGCACCTTCTTTGGAGCCTTCATACCAGATTAAATTTACCGTGTCTAAAATGGTCATGTCATTGAAATCCGTTGTATTTGGATATCCTGTATATTTGTCAGCAGTTCCCCCGAATATATACATTTTTCCAGCATCATCACTTACGGCAGCAAAATTTCTCCTCCTTAGAGGAGTCGCTCCCTTTATGTTTGGTTTATTCCATTCTTCTTTATTCGTATCAAATACATAAACGAGAGCACTGTCATTATTAAATTCCATTTGACCCCCGAACAAAAAGATTAAATCATTATTTACACCTCCAATTGCACTTGAAGCCCAACTATTTGCCGGTACTTTGCCTAAATGTGTAATGTCCGTCCATGATATTCTCCCTATCGTATTATTAAAAGGTATATCTGTAACATCAAGGTAAAAAAAATCGTTTGTTGGTCGATATGAACCACTTAAGACCATAACATCTCCCCCCAAGACATACAATTTATTTCCAATGAGATTTGCTGTCGGGGTATCCCTTGGTATGGTTTTTGCACTTATAAAAATTAAAAAAGTGACCGAAAGAACGAATATACTTAACATGTTTATTTATTATAAGTTCTTTTTTTTATTATTATTATTTTATTATTTTTATTAATTTATTTTTTAATTTTTTAATTTTTTATTTATTTTCTTTTTTTTTTAAAAAAAAAAAAAAATAACAAAAAAAAGTGATTGAATTTTTCGGAAAAAACAAAAAAAAAAAAAAGTTAAATCGTATCACAATCTTATTTACATTTAATCTGCTTCCTTGGAGAATATTCTTAATCTTGTCCTTTTTTAGATTTTTTATATGCTCCGGGGGGGACTCGAAATCTCGATATGATGTTGTAATCACTTCCGTACTTTAAAAAATCACTTAATTGATTATTTGACCCTTTATCAAAAACAATTATCATATTTCGATTTAGCCTGCATGATCTCTTTAACTGAGGCAAAAAATGATTCTTGTTCTTACGTAACTCCTCCCCTTACTTAAAAAAATCATTTTAATTATGATCTAGTTTTTTTTTTTTTATTTATTTAACAAGAATTAAATTATGGGGGAACATATTAAAAAAAAAATTAAATTTTTTTTTTCCTTAAATAATAATAATAATGGTATCAATTAATAAATCGATTCGATTTATTATTTATTATGTTATTTCTCAATTTCAGTTTCGTTTTTTTTTTTTTTTTAAAAAAAAAATAAAAGATCCGAGGAAAGAATTAAATAAATTTCACGTTCGTATTATGCCAATTTATCTTTTAATTAATTAATTAATTTTTTTTTTTTATTTTCGATCCCAATGAAATAAAAAAAAAAAAAAATTTATTGATATAAAGATGCTTGGCAAAATCTTTCGAAAGAAACGTTCCTTTTGAGAAATTTCATCTTCACTCTTTTAATTAAATTCTTTTCCTTGGTGAAAAACTTCCTTTCCGTAAATATTGTGATTGTGATTATTTCCCTCTCTCTCTTCGTTCCCAATACCTCTTTTTTTTTTTTGTTTTTACTTGACAAGGAAAATATGATTTCATGTCGTTATAAATGATAATTTCTTACAAATTTTTGCACGGTACATTTTATCTCATCATCTTTAAATGCCTTTTTTTTTTTTATGCCTAGTATCTTTTAAGTAATAAATTATTTTGAAACATTAATTATATTAAAAATTTTAGACTCAAAAATGAATGATGAACTAGATCAAAATAAAAATCAAAAACAACTACAAACACAAGAATCATCCCCTCAATCACACCCAAAACAATTACAATCACGAGAACACTCATTACAATCCCTTTCCCAAACAGAACAACAGCAACTTAATCCTTGTAACAACAACGAATTAAGCGATATCGATAACACTAATCATAATTCTAACAGTCAACCCGAAAGCGTCATTACCATAGGTGACAACGAACAAGACAACGAATCGTTCAATTTTGATAATCATCCGTTCGTTGTTATTTCACAACATTCCAGTCAACAATATCCAACTCCTCGATTAATATCTGAAGACGAAGCAGAGGAGGTGTTCACCGAATTTTCGGATTCTGAATCAGAAAAGGTTCATAGTATAATTGATGAAGAAAATATGCCTTCGATAGAAAATGAAGGAATCTGTCTTACCTCTGAAAATTGGATAACTCGTAGAGATGAAACGGTAACGAGAATCGATCAGTTTATACAACGTGATAGAGTGATATTAATTAGAGCCCCACCGTTCACTGGGAAAACTTCCTTGTGTATCTTGTTAGAAGAATATTATCGTAGAAAAGATGTTCCGGTCCTACAAATATGTTTTTTAGGTGTTGAGGATATGACCTTTGAGGAATTTTGGATCAATGAAACTGGAAAAAGTTGGAAATATTGGCTTAACCCCAAACACGGTGAAAGGATTATCATATTAGATGAGACTCATCATATCTTTGACGGAGCCCAATATGAAACATTCTGGCTAAGAATAAAATCGTTGTGTCGTCAAGCTTCACTTGGTAGAGAAACTATAAAGGTCATCGCCTTTTCTACGGGAGGTAGATTGGCTACATCCGCTCAAAGTCCTGTGGATTTTCAACAGAAATTTGGATTCGGTCTAGTTCATTGTACGCCATCCGAATTAAAGGAATTGGTCGAAGCGTTTAATAAATACAATTCTAAAAAGAAGATTCATGTTAGTGAAAAAATTGCTCAACACATTATGGAATTCACCGCTGGACATTTGGGTCTGATTCGTTGGATATTAAACGGAATTGATAATTATTTCTCTTATCGCGGGACGAGTTACAAAATTACCACCGATCCCGAAATAATGTCATACTTTACGTCATCGGATTTCATTGAACATGTTAAAGCTCATCGTGGAGCTCCTCTTTACAAGTTTAATACTGCGGAAGGAGAAGTTATAGATAAACTTCTACTTAAGGATGAGTTACGTATTCATTCGACTGGTCCGGATGAAGCCGTAACTGCATTACTTAAAGCCGGAGTATTATTTTATATTGATGACAAAGGTCCAGAATTTATTTTGAGAGAAGGTCGAGTTGGGTTCGTTTCGCCTGTAGCTCGATTACTTTCATTCTTTCATCGTTGTGTGTCTTTTAAACAACCACTACAAGATGGTTTCACTTTACAAGAACTCGTTCGTGAAGCTTTATCAAGAGTCAATTCTAAAGCTTTGACTCATAACCTAGGACGATCAAAAGATGGGATGAGACTACTTGAGCGCGTTTGGCAAATGGAATTCTATAGAGCAATCTATAGTTGTTTACCTGATGAAATGCATATATCACCTGATGTAGGAAGGATCTTTGCAACAGATGGTGTAGTCGACTTTTACATATCTGAACCTCAATGGGCAATTGAACTTTTGATTGATGGAATTGACATGAAAAGACATCATGAGCGCTTTCAAGATGGTAATCTCTTTTTTTTTTTTTTTATATATTTTGGCCATTTTATATTATTTTATTTCATTATTTAATCGAATATTGGATTGGTTATCTTTCAACTTTTGTTTCATTTAGGAGGACGATATTCTTCGATTCCTATAAAGGATTATATCATTCTTGATATCCGTGAAACACGAACGGTAATCAAATCGTACCCTAATACCTGGCATATTACCCCAAACACTGATTTTACAAGTTTTAGCATAATAGAAGGAAACACAAGTTTTGATGTATCAGTAAGAAGAGTATTAAATCGGTCTAATATTAAAATATCTACAGAAGAATGTGAAGCGTTAGAATTTGAGATGAAAAGTTTAAAACGTAAACGAGATGATGATGAAGAACTTCAAGAATATAAAAAACGACAAAATAGAAGGGATGTGATTGAAAGTTTAGAAAAGTTGGTCGATTTCTTACAAAAAAGGGAAAGGTACCTGATGGAAAGGGGTGCAGTTGAAGAGGCCAAAGAGACTCAACGTGAACTTGATCGAGCTTCTGGAGAACTAACTAAAACTTTGTATGAATCACTTGGTCGATAAAATTTTTTAATTTGTGCCTTTTTTTTTTTTTTCTAAAAAAAAAATTGTTTTGCTCGTTCGAAAATTTTTTTATCTCAGTTTTAACATTATTTAAATAAAGATAAGAAAAAATTTTTTTTCACGGTTTGATACCATGAATAACTTTAACTAATATATTTCTTTGGTAATCAGTTAAACCGAATAAATTATCTTTCGTTAACAAATATAATATGTAAGGACGACGGTTACGCAAATAGAAATTTGAAAAGAATCAGAAAACGCTTTTCATTATTAATATACTTGCTAAAAATAATCAATTATATCATAATAGTAGCACCGAAACAAGGTTCTTTTGCATTTCATTTCTTTTACACGTTTTATTGAAATAAATTATAATGCTGCTTCTACTTATGAAGTCACTTTCAAAATGACACACCTCCAATCTTATCATAAGGAATAAAGATATACCGAAATATCTTATTAATGCATATAACTATGCAAGGTCCCAAGCGATAAATTTAATGTAATATCATTTGAAGAAATTAAAAATACAATTATAAGTTATTGTAAAGCGGGTAAAATTTTACCAGTACATTCACCGAATCCAATCAAATAACCTTCCCCTTTACAATATCCTGTTAATATTATTTCATCTCCATCTTCAATAAATTTTCTTTTAATTCCATTCTCGAACTCAATTTCATTTTGTCCATTCCATGTAATCTCCAGTAAAGACCCTCTAGAATCTTCAGTCTAAAGCAAAAATATTTTAATTTTAATTAATTTTTAATTTGACTTAATAAATAATATAAAATAACTTACACGTCCACTTATAGTTCCAGTACCACATAAATCACCAGGGCGCATATTACACCCGTTTACCGTATGATGGACAAGTTGTTGCTTTAGAGACCAATACATGTACTTTAAATTTGATCTTGTTAACGTTTTGAAAGAATCACTTTCATTTGCTATTCAATAAAAGCAAAGATCGTTAAAGATATTTAAATTAAGTTGAATCGAGAAAATACACACTCAATCATTACGTTTCATTTTTACTTCTAATTGAATATCATATGCCGATGGAACATTATGTTCGAGATAGGATAAAGGAGTCGGATCCTATAAAAACAAATAAAAAAAAATAAAATAATTAAACAATTTTCGTTTTAAAATAAAAAGGATATAAAACTATATATATTAAGTTACAAACCTGAGTGGGTCCATTAGTTAAAAATGGTTCTAAGGCATCCAACATGACAACCCATGGTGAAATGGTTGTTCCAAAATTTTTACCCAAAAAAGGGCCTAATTGATAAAATAAATGATTTTATTAAGTTATATTAAAAAATAATAATGATTGTTTATTCATATATAAAAATAATTCTTACCTAGCGGTACATATTCCCAGGCTGATATAATTAATATTACAATAGTATTCAACTAATTTTTCTGATTAATGGATTTAAAGAACATAAATAATAATATAATATATACTTTCCTTGAATATCCCGAGCTATTTAGAATGATTCATATGATCAGGTCAGATGAGTGAAAAAATGTAAATAATAAAAGAAATAAATAAACACTTCATTATTTACCACTCCAATCATTCATTAAAACCAGGCCAAAAATATGTTGACTTGCTTGATCAATCGGAATTCGCTCCCCGGGTTTATTACCTGAACCAACAAAGAATGCCTAAGTAATTTAAATGTATAAGAAAACTTATACTTTTTCGTTGCGATAAGAAGGATACGCTTTACCATTTCTAATTCAAAATCTAACTTGACGGAGGGACCGAAAATTGGAGGTTGATCTTTTACAGGTAATCTTTGTCCACATGGACGAACAATATCCGTTCCGGAAACAACAATTGAAGAAGACCGTCCGTGGTATCCAACCGGCAAATGTACCCTTGAACGTTTTTTTTTTAAGTTAATGTACCTTCCAATATAAAACGAATCGATAAATACTAACCAATTAGGCATCAATGCATTATCTTTGCCTCTGAACATTACACCAACATTAGTTGCATGTTCTTTTGAAGCATAAAAATCCGTATAGTCTCCAATCTGGGCTGGTAAATGCATTTTAGCTGCTTGCTGTGCCACGAATGATTTTTGTCGAAGCTGGTCATTGTCTCGTAATTCTGGATTACCATTTGACAATATGTTTTGTAAGAATCTTCGTGTAGCTTGCCATAACGGTTTTCCTAATGACATAAACGAATTTAAAGAAGACTATAACACAAAAAAATAATAAATTAAAAAATTAATATAAAATGAGAATAAATTATTCGCATCATGTAATTATTACCTGAGAAAAAACATTCGATGGATCCTTCAATTCCGGAACATGTTCTTCAAATAAAGTAGTTATGGCAGTCAAGTCTAATATTTGGTCCCCTATAGCAACGCCGACTCGGGGCGTAGGCTATACATGAATTAAAAAATTAGGAAATAATTAAATGAAAATCATGCGTTCAACTCCAACTTACATTTTGCTGTGTAGAAAAGATTCCAAATGGTAAATTTTGAATAGGAAAATGTGAATCGAAAGGGATTTGTATAAAAGATTTCATGATTTCTTGGATTGAAGTTTAACAAGTTGCATCATATAAATAACTAATATTGAGTCAGAAGACCGTGAGAAATCGGTAGCTTATCTAATATGAACATTTTCACATTTGGAAGGTGCTACTAGTCGATGATCCTATTATCAATGTCGATCCTTTTATTTAAGCATTTTATTTTTTAGCATTTACACCGCGCGATATCGGAATTGGCAAGTATTATCGCATCACGCAAATTCTCCAGCCTCTATTCTTCGTCAAGAAATTTTCTGAACATCATTCTGCGCATTGTTACCATTCATGATCTTTAGAATAAGATCACGTGTACCGATACTTTGATCAGATTTATATTCTTTGCAGATCTCAAAATGATCAATCATACTATAGTCAATAATGTCTGAAAAATTCATTCCTGAAGAACTCATTCGTAAAGAACTCAAGACAATACTCCCTTTTCAATACAAGCTGAATAAGGACTAGCTTGTTATTGAAGGTGTGCCTATTTCTATGGAAGGCTTTGAAGAACTTGCGACAATATTTCCTTCTTTAAAATGAGCTAACTGATGGTAAAGTTATAATAATGCCTGTTCATGCACAAACTGGTATGTAATTTTTTGATACCATAAGTTTGAATGTCGACAAGCGTTTCTTTTCTGTGCTTAATTATGACTAGGGAACGGTGAACCGTTATTAAGTCCGGAATGAAAATCTAACAAAAAATAATAAGGCAATACAAAATTTTTTAGTAGAATAATAAAGCCAGGCCTAACACAAGCAGATTTAAATCATGAGCTAAGCTAATGGACTATTAAAAAATGTAACGCACGATAAATTAAATAAATAGTACCGTACAAGAAAATCGAACAACGTTTAAACAAAGTGAGAGAAGAATATGAAAAAGTGGAGAAGAATTTAGAAGAAAAAGCAAAGAAGTTAAACGATTTGAAGAGAGGAAAGGTGAAGGAAGAATGTGAAGAGGAAAAGGAGGATTTAGAAAGTTAGTAAAAGAGAAGGATGAGAGATGGAGGAATGGGAAAAACACGAGAGTTTGAAAAAGGAGAAGAAATTGTATAAAAAAATTTATTTTTTCGTTCATTTCGTTTTATTTATATACATATTACTGTTTTGAAATGTTGCTAACCTATGTTTTTTCTTTGTTTCTGTTTTGCTCTGCATATGATGAAACCTATTACAAGAGGTGTCTTTCAGCTTTATATATGAATTTTTGAAGCAGCTCAAAATGCAACATTCAGGCAAAATATGTGTTCATGTGTTTGACATTCTCATTAGTGATGGAAACGATGCAGAACTGTTTGAATTGAAAAATGTTTTAGAGGAATGTAATGAAAGAAATGGAATCACAAGATATTTTAGAAGTGAGAAAAATAGAGGAAAAAAATATAAAATTAATTCCCATTCTAGATCAAATGGAAAATTCTTCTTCATTTAAGATGCTATTAGCTTTTAATGAAGCTTATACATTGATTGATCACAATTATTCTGATGAAAGGATAATTCTATTACATGAGAAAAGCATTACAGCAATTTTCACATGAATTTAAAATCAAAAATTACCATTTCTAGCTTTTTTCACAAATACACTTTCAAGAGTTTTAAATTTCTTACCTGTTAATTTATCTATAACTTAAAGATAGAAAATCACTGATAACAACAAAAGATCTCATAACATCTTATCAAAATTACCAGGTTAACTAACAAACTAAAAGTCCTTTCTTTTCATATTGATAATAGGATAAAAGATTTTTTGAATCTGGAGTTTTTATATAATATTTTTCATTGATACTTTAACAACCTTTAACAAGAAAATGAATAGTTACAAGTTTCACTTACTAAAAGAGAAGAACAACTTCAAGAGAAGATAATTTATCAGCAGATATTTTAAGAAGTGTATATACAATTGTATCAGAAAAGTCAAAAATTCATTTTTTTATTATATTCATAATAATTAATGGTTACTAATTCTAATAAAAAGAGATATTATATATTTCAGTTAATTCATATTTATGTTTTATTATACACTTCAGCTATTATTAGTTTTTAAAATAGTTTTTTTATTATATTATTTTCTATATTATTTGAACTTCATATATTTCTCATTTTTTTAAATTATCAATAAAATTATGCATATTACTGCAATTTTACCTTCTAAAATTATGAAATTATCTAATAAAATAATGATTATTATAAAATATATATATAAATATATTTTATTTTTGTTTCACAGGTCGAATGATGTCAAATAGGAAATTAGTAAGGTTGCCAAATTTGATCCTATTGGTCTCCTATTTTTTTTTACTGATGTTCAATCAGGTATCCTGATTGGTATCAGAAATTGACGTCAGAAGAAATCATTCAGGTTCCAATAGGTTCTAATAGGATTATCTTACTATTAGTATAATCAGTATACTGATTGATATCTTTTAGGTCAATAGAAACATATCTGATTGATAACATTTTATCTAATTGTCAACATACTGATTAATAACTTTTAGTTAATTTTACAGTAGCGGTTATAAGTATCTGATCGCCTCTAACTCCGGCTACAAGTAAGTAAATTCAAAATTTTTTTTTATTTAAAAAATACATAACCAACTAACTAAAATTAATACATTGTG